AGGTAGAAGAAGAAGAAGGGTGTTGCTGAAGGGTGCTAAGGCTGAAGCTTTGCTGCCGACCAGAGCAAATTGTGTGAGAGATAGAAGATGGGTGATAGGTTTTGGCGTCTGATAGGTTTTGGAGTTTGGGCTTTTCGCGGGTAATTTTGGTTTTAATAGGAGAGAAAAAGAGAAAAAAGAAAGAAAGAAAGAAAGGGTGTTTTGGCATTTTAAAAAATTAAATATGGGTATTTTCGGCATTTTAAAAGTTTCATGATTATGTGTCTCTTGATTGGAGTAATGGCTACTAGCTTTTAGAGTTCAAAAGTAGTGAAGATAGATGAGTTTTGTCAAAAATATGGGATCATCAAGTGGTAATTCAGGGTCTAATTAATTCGTTTTCGTGCTAAATTATGTAGGGGACGATGACGATTGATTCTAACAGCAAAAAGAGTGATTTCATCACCGCAGCTTGAGTAGCCTCTCGTATAGGACTAAAGCAGTCATTTGAAAATTGAAAATGAGCAATATTTGGAAAAAGAAATAGATGAATGATCAAAATATCCCTTCCAAAAGTTGCTCAAAAAATTCCATATTCAAAAAAGTGTAGAACAAAAACAAGTTGGTACGAGCATGACACAAATTTGATAACATGAAACACGAATGTAGCTAGTAGCACGAAATGGATCGTACGTATCAGGAGACAAAAATACACCCTCATCATCCTTCAGTTTTGAAGGGAAGCAAATTAATAAAGACACAGAGCAGCAGGGAAGGGATGAATGGGTGAAAAGCATGTACAAAAGGAGACAAATAGCTGAGATCACAATAATAGTGCTAGCTCCTTCTTCCGTCGCTTCATCAAAAAACAAGATGCAAAACCTCAGGTTTTCTCACAGAAAACCACTGCATAATTTGTCTTATATGCAATAATAATCTACAAGGGACAAATGCAGCTTCCGGATTTCCACAAATCTCAAAACCACTTTGTCTCTTTTTTTGCTTTATGTGTGTATATATATATTATACATTCAGTGTTAGGGTCCAAAACATAGTCCTCCAAACCCAAGAAACCCAAAAAAAAAAAAAAACACCCCAGAAACAGAAAAAAGCAGAGTGCTCTGTTGAATTAACTGAAGATGTGTGCAACAAGAGGAGCTTGGATCGCGGCGGTTAGTGTTGGAGCTGTCGAGGCTTTGAAAGATCAAGGCTTCTGCAGATGGAGTTACACCATGAGGTCTTTGAACCAGCATGCCAAGAACAATATGAGATCTTTCTTAGAAGCCAAGGAACTCTCGTCTTCTTCTTCTGCTATGGTTTTGAACAAAATGAATTCTGAAGAGAAGAACCAAGCTGAGGATTCTCTAAGAAAAGTCATGTACTTGGGCTGTTGGGTCCCTTATTGAAATCCCTCCAATATTATAGGTAGTTGGGGATGTAAACTGAGTTGAAGCTGTATATACATGATTTGAATGTATATTTTCCCAACCCTACAACAAGAAAATCACAGATTTTGCTTTTTATCAATGAACATGAACATTGGATCTCTTAATACTAGTTTTTGGATCTAAAGGTGATATTAATTAGCTTACTGTATCAGTACTTATTTCACATTCTAATTCAATTAACGTTGGTTCTATTTTTCAGTCAAACAACTAATCAGTTGAAATTATCACAAAACCAAAAACAAAGAACCAACTAGTTGAAGTTTATATCAGTTAGGTGCAACAAGAACACAAGGTTATCTCTTCCTATTGATCATCGTTGACAAATTTCAAGTACAAAAGTAATGTAAAAATCCAAAGGGTTCATTTAGATCAAATCTTATATCGTTACGTTTTTCAAATATAAAACAAACACACAATAGACATGTCGATATTCCATCTTATCAATCATTTAATTCATCAACTATATACGACACTTTTATCACAAACTAACAAACTAACTCTTAACTAAGTGATATTTCATTTACAACTTTTATTTAGTATGTTGTGTTTCTTCTTCATCATATACCAATTGATATTCAATCGACATACATCCACGTGTGACAATCATGCGAACCCTAACATGATCACTTCTCCAACAAGAGTGATGGAAATTTAGAGGAAACATTCTAGTTTTTGGGGGGCAGCAGATGTTAGGGACACTCGTCCGTCCATACACATGAGAATCACGTGAGCTTCACGTAATTGTTGAAGGAAGTTGAGGTTTCATTCCAAAATCAATTGGCAATAGGGAAATAGTCCAATTTCACGTAATTTCTCAACTATCCAATGTAAGATATAATCATGTGAGCTTCACATAATTATTGAAGGAAGTTGAAGTTTCACTCCAAAATCAACACTTCACACAATTTCTCAACTATCTGATCACCCTCACATTTTCACAACCACATCTGCAATTTGCACGTAAACAAGTAAACTACTGGTTTCACTCCCAACGCTACTACTAGCCCACAGACCAAAATAAAGTGACAAGAGACAAGAGACTCTGTTTCTGTCTTTTGGCCCACACTAAATCAAACAAGCAAACAAATGGTTTCACTCACTTCCATACTGCCGGCCTAAATACAATAATTTAAATCAAAACCATGTTCCCATGAGGCAACAAAACTCCGTGCTTATCCAAACTCCAAAATCTTAAATTCCCCCTTTTACCCCTGTATAGTACATCATAACCCCCAGCATCTGCATGTACAAAACAGTAATAACCCCAAATATAGTGTAACATACACATACCTTACCAAAAGAAACAGAAGAAAACAAAACCAGCTCTGGATTTTTGCCACAAGCCCACCTTTTTAAAAAAATTCCCCTATATAAAGAGCACCTCAAGATCTTCTCCATCAATACACTCAAACATTCACATTCACAACTGAGAAGTTCACAGCATCAAAGAGAGATCAGTAAAGAAGAGAGTCACCACTCTTAATTAGCGATGAGCAATACCATCACGTTTTTTGTATTTTTGTTCACCACTCTTAATTAGCGATGAGCAATACCATCACGTTTTTTGTATTTTTGTTCACCACTCTTAATTAGCGATGAGCAATACCATCACGTTTTTTGTATTTTTGTTCACCACTCTTAATTAGCGATGAGCAATACCATCACGTTTTTTGTATTTTTGTTCACCACTCTTAATTAGCGATGAGCAATACCATCACGTTTTTTGTATTTTTGTTCACCACTCTTAATTAGTGATGAGCAATACCATCACGTTAATTATTGTGCAAGAAATTCATGTAATTGTCGTGGAGGAAATTCATGTAATATGTAGATTAAATCATACTCATCAAATGACAATTAACCTAATTATAATGCTCACTATTTCTTTAATGACATGTCAACACATAATAGACTCACGCCTATAATTAGCCGAAGCAAATAGAGAGAAGGAAAGAAACTATGATGTTTGTTTTTCTGCCCACGGTCCACACCAAACCAAGTAAACAAATAGTTTCACTCCTATATTGTGTTTGAAATAGATGCGCAAGGGGCAGTAGACAGAATCAATTCTAACAAAGAGTGTTTTTGAAGCAGAAGGGAACTTGGTGGAAGATATTAAGGAGATGCGGTTGTGGTTTAGATCTTTTTCATGTGAATGGCAGTGATGAGATGGTAATGTAGTTGCTCCTGAGCTAGCCCAATATGCTATTAGGAACACAAACATGGATTGAGGAGAAGCCTCCTTGTTTGAGTTCTTTGCTTGCTGCAGATTTAAAAGCTATTGGTTGATTTATGTATTCGATGTCAAGTGGGAGGCCTTTTTTTTCCTTTGGTGGATTTTCCTCCTTTTTGGGCATTTTTTAGGCCAAAGATTTTTTTACAAAGGCCCAAATTGTTGACATGAGTTAACCTACTAAATCAAGGAGATTTATTTCCTCCTTGTTTTATATAGTTGACACATCCTTGTATAATTAGGAGATATTCTCATAATTAATTTCTGTATCTATTTTCTTGTAAAGTACCCTTGTAAAATCTTATATATACCTTATTATGGAGAAGAACACAATTAACCTAAAGTATTCAAACCATATTCATATTTTAGCATGATATTAAAGCAATTGATCATAGGTTGTCTTTAGGCCCTCAAATCATACCCTCAAATTCAAACCGAAACCCTAAATCAAATTCCTTACCTCTTAAATCAAATCCTCTTATCAAATACCTTAAATCAAAATCCAAAAATCAAATTCATACATCAAATTCCTCAAATCAAAATCCTCAAATTCGCAAATTCTCAAATAAACTCCTTAACCACAAACACACACTCATATTAAATCTTACTTTTGCTACAATGCCAGGACCTCATACGATTCTCTCCCTCCTTGCAAACTCACAGAAGTATGCGGTCAATCCTACTGAGCTTCACGTAATTGTTGAAGGAAGTTGAGGTTCCATTCCAAATTTAATTGGCAATGGGGGAAGTAGTCCAACGTCATTCAATTTCTCAACTATCCAATGTGATATATAATAATGTGAGCTTCATGTAATTATTGAAGGAAGTTGAGGTTCCACTCCAAAATCAATTGATAATGGGGAAGTAGTCAAACTTCATGCAATTTATCAACTATCCAATATGAGACATTTTCAAGCTCACATCTTCACAACTACAAACAAGTAAACAACTGGTTTCACTCCCAGACGCTACTACTAGCCCACATACCAAAATAAAGTGACCAGAGACCCTGTTTCTGTCTTTTGGTCCACACTCAAAATCAAACAAGCAAACAAATGGTTTCACTCCCATACTGCGGGCCTAAATACAATAATTTAAATCAAAACCATGTGCCCTTGAGGCAACAAAACTCTGTGCTCATCCAAACTCCAAAATCATAAATTCCACTTTTACCCCTGCCTACTGCATCATATCCCTGCATCTGCATGTACAAAACAGTAATATCCCCATATATAGTGTAAACATCCACATGCCTTACCAAAAGAAACAGGAGAAAACAAAACCAGCTCTGGTTTTTGCCACAAGCCCACCTTTTCTTAAAAAAATCCCCTATATAAAAAGCACCTCAAGATCATCTTCTCCATCAATACACTCAAACATTCACATTCACAACTGAGAAGTTGAAAGCATCAAAGAGAGGTCAGTAAGGAAGAGAAAAGAAATCATAATCGTGATGAGTTCATCAAGTGCAAGCAAGGCTATTGTGGCAGCAAGTGTTGGAGTTGTGGAGGCATTGAAGGACCAAGGGATATGCAGATGGAACTCTGCTTTAAGATCTGTGCACCAGCAAGCCAAAACCCAACTCAGGTCATTTTCTCAGGCCAACAAGCTTTCATCTCCTTCTGCTTCAGCTGCTTTCAGTAAAGTCAGAGATGAGAAGTTGAAGAAATCAGAGGAGTCTTTGAGGACAGTCATGTACTTGAGCTGCTGGGGTCCCAACTAATTCAATCAGCACAGAAACAGGAGCAAAAAGATCACATTTCTGTTGAGGCTTTGAAAGATCAAGGCTTCTGCAGATGGAGGTGCACCACCATGAGGTCTGTGCACCAGCATGCCAAGAACAATATGAGATCTTTCTTACAAACCAAGGAGCTCTCTTCTTCATCTTCATCTTCATCTTCTGCTGCTATGGTTTTGAACAAAATGAATTCCGAAGAGATGAATCAATCAAGCTGAGAATTCTCTAAGAAAAGTCATGTACTTGAGCTGTTGGGGTCTTTATTGACACAAATTGGAGCTCATGGTGAAGTCCCTCAAGATTTGAAGATTTTTGAGACTGAATTGAAGCTGTACACATTATTTGAATGTAAATTTTCCCAATCAACCAAAAAAACAAGAAAATCTATGTTCTTTGGTTTTTATCAATTAACTTTGGATCTATTAATTAGACAATTCTCGACCAGGTTAACCTTAGCTTACTTATTTGGAATTCTAATTCAATACATGTTGGTTTTATTAATGGTTCCTCCTTCAAATAGAGACGCTTTAGGTTCTATTTTTCAGTCAATCAACTAACCAGATGAGATTATCACAAAACAAAACACAGAGAACAAACGAGTTGAAATTTATCAGTTGGGGGCAACAAGAACACAAAAGGTTATCTCATCCTATTGATCATTGTTGGCAAAATAAAAAGGCAGACGGTTCATTTCGATCAACCAAAACTTTAAAAATTAACTCTTAATATAGTGATATCTCACTTAGAATGAAGAAAGAGAATCCTCATTAACTTTACAGAGGGTTATGAAGTGTTTAACAAAAGGCGTTGTCATTTGGTCAAGGTCAACAGAGTCTTGTTCATCGGAAAAGGACCCGAGTCTTGTTAAGTGGAAAAGAATCTGACTTACAGATTAATTGTTCCAATTTCGATTGTTAAGTGGAAAAGGATTTGACTTACTGACTAATTGTTCCAATTTCGAACTTCTATGATACCGTTGAGTCTTGTTAAGTGAAAAAGGATTTGTAAGTACAAACTAATTGTTCCAATTTTGAACTTCTATGATACCACTGAGTCTTCTATGATACGCTGAGTCTTGTTAAGTGAAAAAGGATTTGACTTACAAACTAATTGTTCGAATTTCGAACTTCTATGATACCGTTGACAATGTGTGTAGGTGAACACCTCCCTCCGGCAATATCACTTGTATAAAAAGAGTGCTGCTAAACGAACCCTAAAATTAACTGGGTACACCCTACGATCTAAGTACACCCTAATGTTTAAATAAAAATGTAAAATTAACTAAGTACACCCTATTTAACTACCAAAAATACCCATGGTACACCCTCTTTAATTTTTAATCTTTTAAAGTATTTAAAATAAACAAATAAAGTAAAATAATAATAAAATAATAATTTAACAAAACTCTCTCTCTCTCTCTCCTGCTTCTTCTTCTTCTTCTTCTTCTTTTATCTCTCTCCTGTGCGACCACCACCACCTGGTTTGTGTTATTGATTGTTTAAGTTTTATGCATACAAAAATCAACTGGGATCAGTACATTTCTCCTGGATTCCGAGTTGTATGTTAAAAATTAAGTCAATTTGTTTGAAGGCATGGGTTCAAAAGCTCAAGCAGTAAAACAAAGATTTTAATTCTTAATTAAATATATTGTCTTCAATCTTTCGAGAGAGGTGTGGGTTTTCAATATAATTTAGGGAGATTTGGTAGTTTGGGAATTTGGGGACAGCATATCTCAACTCATCTCAGAGTGGGGTGGGTCGGGAAGGAGAGAGAGCTTTTTTTCTTTTTTTTTCTCTTTTATTTTATTTTATGGTTTTAAATACTTAAAAAAAATTAAAATTAAAGAGTTGACCATAGTTATAACAATGGACATGCGTCAAGTCTTAAGGATGGTGTATATATTGGGGTACACAATTCAATATATCCTTTTTGGTCATTTTATATTAGTGTAAATTAGTAATTCAATAAATAGTTTGATAGTATGGTGTACTCAGTTAATTTTAGGGTTCGTTTAGCAGCACTCGTATAAAAAAGGCCTTAATGATGTGTTCAAATCCGGCTCATAACTTGTGCAAGCTGGGCCATAGCATAGGCCCCAAATATTTGGGGCTCCAATTTTTTTTTCTAGCCCACTTCTAAAAGAAACCCAAAAATTATTTATGTACACTTCAATTTTTAAAAATAAACCCTTTATTCCTTTTGACAATCAGACCAAAGAAAGGAAAATAGGGGGACTTTTGACTAAAGAAAACGGGACCCCTGTTTTCAATTTTCTAACCCAACAAATTTTTTTACCTATTTGTTTTTAACATGTTTCAGATTTTTTTTTCTTGGTTTGTTCTTCCTTTTTCTGGTTCTCTCTCTCTCTCTCTCTCTCCAGAATCTGTCTTTTGAATTTTTATTCTTCAAATCAACCAAAACGTCTTTTGAACTTTTAATCTTCAAATCAACCAAAACTTTGTGATTCAATTGGACCAAAGCTTTCTAAGTTGGATGTTTTATGCAAGCTTTGGAATTTGAAGGCATGATTATAAGAAACTTATAAATCAGGTGAATTCCTAATTTTTTTAATTTTTTTTTCTCTAATGTGAATGAATTTTGTACTTTAAATTATGACTTTTAGATTTACCCATAAATTTTCCCCTTAAAAATCCACCATGAATGAGAAAATAATGTTGTTTTGTTCATAACATTGTCATTAACCCTTTTTTCTTCTTTGAGAATATCATTACATTTTTCACCTTTCATTCTTCTTTATCATATACTAATTGATTCTCAACCGATGTACATCCACCTGTGACAATCATGTGACTGTTCTGTCGTTTGGCCCACACTCCAAATTAAACAAGCAAACAAAATGGTTTCACTCCCACACCACACCGCGGGCTAAAATACAATAATTCAAATCAAAACCATGTACCCATGACAATGAGGAAGCAAAACGTTGTGCTTATCTGAATATCCCAAGCCATCTGCACGTACACAACAGTGATATCCCAATCCACACATACCTCTGGATAAGAAACAGAAGAAAACAAAACCAGCTCTGTTCACCTTTGCCCTTTTTCTAATCCCCTATATAATGAGAGTACCTCATTATCATCTCTTCTCCATCAATAATACACTCAAACATTCACATTCACAGCTGAGGAGTTCAAAAGATTTAAGAGAGAAATAGTAGAGAAGAGGAAAGAAATCATAATCATGATGTCAAGTACAAGTGTTGAAGTTGTGGAGGCATTGAAGGACCAAGGGATATGCAGATGGAAGTCTGCTCTAAGATCTGTGCACCAACAAACCAAAACCCAACTCAGGTCATTTTCTCAGCTCTCATCTTCTTCTGCTTCAGCTGCTTTCAGTACAGCCAGAGATGAAAAGCTGAAGAAATCAGAGGAGTCTTTGAGGACAGTCATGTACTTGAGCTGCTGGGGTCCCAACTAATTCAATCAGCACAGAGACAAAGAGCAAAAAGATCAGATTTTTGTGCAAGCGGTTGCTGAAATGGAGCTTGGGCATATGAACACAAAGATGACACAACCCATGAAAGGGCTCCTTGAGTTTTATATATATCAAATGATCAAGATATATAAACTTGTTGGGTTACATACTACTGTCCAACGCAATCGTTGTAAATGGCAGACAATTCATGCATGTCTGCTTGCTTGCTTGCTTGGGGCAAGTTGATGTAAATTATGTTATGTTATGACAATTACCATATAAAGCAAAAGCATACATATTTCTGAGCAATTGATGCCTTGATCATTCTTTTCGCGTTTTTCTTTTTGCTTTTTCTTATTAATCCATTATTTACTTCGTTTTAACTGAAGGATTTATCATAATTGAGTAAAATCCGTTGTCTTGAATGGTTTCTTTCTCAAAGAAATGCTAGTAAGCTACAAGCCCAACACATCCATGGTTTTGCCCACATTTTATGGGTTTCTTTCCTCCTACCTTCATCCTCTGCTTTCGTTTCAAGTAAGCTCAGCTGCTGGGGTCCCGATTGATTATTAATTCAGCCTTGTTTATTAGATCCCCTGAATTCTCTATGATATATACAATTGATTATTCTATGCACCAAAAACTTGAACATTAATCAAGCTACTTAGTTTAAAAAGTTTTTATGCTAACACACATTTTATATCAAATTGAGTGTTGATGGTGCTTTCAGAAATGGTGGGAGGTACCTTTTTTTTTGTATTTTTGCTCACCACTCTTAATTAGCGGTGAGCAATACCATCACGTTAATTATCGTGGAGGAAATTCATGTAATATGTAGATTAGATCATACTCATCAAACGACACTATGATGTTTGTTTTTCCCCCACGGTCCACACCAAACCAAATAAACAAATAGTTTCACTCTTACACTGCGGGCATAAATACATATAAGTTCGCACATAATTTTGGGTTTCAAGACATTGTGTTGGAAATAGACGCGCAAGGGGCAGTAGATAGAATCAATTCTGACAAAGAGTGTTTTGAAGTAAAAGGGAACTTGGTGGAAGATATTAAGAAGATGCGGTTGTGGTTTAGATCTTTCTCGTGTGAATGGCAATGACGGGACGGTAATGTAGTTGCTCATGAGCTAGCCCAATATGCTATTAGGAACACTGGTTTTTATACATGAAGTGAGGAGAGGAGGAGCCTCCTTGATTGAGTTCTTTGCTTGCTGCAGATTTAAAAGCTACTTGTTGATTTATGTATTCGATGTCAACTGGGAGGCCCTTTTTTTCCTTTTGGCGAATTTTCCTCTTCTTGGGAGTTTTTTACGCCAAAGATTTCTTTACAGAGCCCTTTCCTTCTTTTCGTTGTATTATGTTGATTGGTTATTGAATGAAGTACAGTTATCTCAATATAATAAAAAAAGGAAAAAAAAGAAAGCAAAGCAAAACCATGTGCCCACGTGGCAGCAAAATGTTTTGCTTATCAAAATTCTGAAATCCCACTTCTACCCATGTTTAATTGATCATTTCCACTGCATCTGGATGTCCAGTTGAGTAATATCTGAGCTCATAGTGCATCATCCACAACAAGGTCCAAATGAAACAAAAGCCATTGGCTTTTCTATCCCAAAGGAAAAAGACCCATTTGCTTTCACTGAGGAAACCGCCTCTAGTTTTTGGGGACAGACAAAAAAGCACACCGTTTCTAATCCCCTATATAAAGAAGCACTCTCTGCTCCTCCTTCATCAAACACTTACACATTCACATACCAACTGAAGAGTTCAAAAAAATCAAAGACAGAAAAATCTAGTAGAGAAGAGAAGAGAAGAGAAGAGAAATCATAATCATGATGAGTTCATCAAGTGCAAGCAAGGCTATTGTGGCAGCAAGTGTTGGAGTTGTGGAGGCACTGAAGGACCAAGGGATCTGCAGATGGAACTCTGCTTTAAGATCTGTGCACCAACAAGCCAAAACCCAACTCAGGTCATTTTCTCATGCCAACAACAAGCTCTCATCTTCTTCTGCCTCAGCTGCATTGGGTAAAGTCAGAGATGAAAAGCTGAAGAAATCAGAGGAGTCTTTGAGGACAGTCATGTACTTGAGCTGCTGGGGTCCCAACTAATTCAATCAGCACAAAAACAAGAGCAAAAAGATCACATTTTTGTGCAAGCGGTTGCTGCAATGGAGCTTGAGCATGAACGAGGGATGACACAACCCATGAAGAGCTCCACCAAATGAGGACATAGTTACATATTGACAATCATTTGTGCTTGTAAATGTCAGACAATTCATGTCTGCTTGGGGCAAATTGATGTAAATTATGTCATGTTAAGACAATTACCATAAAAAACATATATGTTTCTGAGAATTGCTGCCTTGATCATTATTTTGGTCTCTGGTTTTTTGTGTATATATTTTGCCCATTGTTTATTTTGTCATGAGTGGAAGATTTATCAACACTACAGGTCTGAGTTGAATTTGTTTAATTTCAAAGCAGAAGATTTGAAGAAGGAAACGTTTTATGGAATTTGAAGTTGAAATGTTGAGCCATGATCATCTACACTGTAAATTTCCTCACACAAATTAGTGCTACGATGGATTGATTGACAGAATTGCACTACTCCCACTTTCAGATTAAGCCAAGTTTGTATCTAATCTATGACCATATCATTTGGAATCTCCTTCTTTAATCTGAAAGAGTTATTCATTAATTCGAAGGATTAGAAACATCCCAATCTGAAACTAGGACAGAAGATTAGCCATGATGGCTCAGCCAATACATCTCATGCTCTATTGGAAAGGAAAATATCCTACATTCCTGTCAATAGCTAATGAGTCAAATCAGGTAAGTAGTATCCTATTGGAAATATGAATTTAGAATATTATAATATCAATATAGTAATGGATTTCCAAACCCAAGTATTTTCACCAGTAGTTTCCAAGAAGCATTCCTTCTAAAATATTTCTTAACTCAAACCAATTGGACTGTCTCCAAACCCAAAAAAGAAGAAGATAATTTCCACTAGAAAACAAACAAAAAGAAGTGGTCTTTCCTCCCCAAAAAGAGAAAAAGATAATTTCCACTAGAAAACAAACAAAAAGAAGTGGTCTTTCCTCCCATACCTGAGGCTTAAATGGATTTTATAAAGGAAAACCGTGTGCTTTGGTCCTACCCAACCCAATTTTGTCTCCGTCAATGAATGTTACAAATAGTTGACAGAAAAAAAATGAATGTGACAAATAGCCCAATCTTGACTCACCGTTAAGGAAAAACCACTGGCTACCCCCAGCAAAAACCTCAATAGCCAGAGCTAGCCCATGGTTTTTTTTTTTTTTTTTGTCCCACATTTTATGTGCTTAGTTTTAGCGTCACTCACACTCCATCCATATAAAAGCAACACCAACTCCCCATTTACTTCATCAAAATTCAAACACTTCGAAACATCAGTTTTACTTCCCATCAAGTTTAAGAGTGTTCTTATTAAGAGTTTACAGAAGAAGATATCAATATGAGCAGTTCATCATCAACAGCAGTAAGGAGAGGTTGGGTGGTGGCAGCAAGTGTTGGAGTTGTGGAGGCCTTGAAAGACCAAGGGATCTGCAGGTGGAATTATACTATGAGATTAATGCAGCAGCATGCAAAGAGCCAACTTGGGTCTTTTTCTCAGGCTAACAAGCTCTCTTCCGCATCCTCTGCTCTGGTTTCAAGCAAGCTTAGAGATGAGAAGGTGAAGCAGTCTGAAGAGTCTCTCAGGAAAGTCATGTACCTCAGCTGCTGGGGACCCAATTGATTTCAGCAACTATATAATTTGTAGCTGAAGAAGATGATCAATACAATTTGGCACTGAAGGCAGGCTTGGATTACAAATTTTCAAGTTTTGAGGCATGGCATGATGATAGCTGGAAACATGCGGTTAAGCTGACCATGGTTGGTGTAGGCTGTGCAGCCTGAAGAAATTTTGTTTATTTACAAAATTATTGTAAATTGTAAATCTCTGAGTTCTCTATGATATATACAATTAATATGAAAATTGATATCTGATCATTAGCCCTAACCATTAAAATCTTTATCATGTATGGTCTGTCTGTTAAGGAAAGGAAGGGGTTAAAATCAAATTTTCTATGCAGATCCTACCATTAATTAGTACCAACTAGTAAATAATTTTGTCCATAGCCAGAGAAAATAGTGAATGCAATAATGTACATAGCATAGCTAGTACATAAATGCCAAACTATTTAATTTCTATAAACAAATCCAAAAATAATTCAAAAAATTATGTATTGTCGAGTGTTTTGGTTTTGGATTGGGTTTGTTTTACGAAACAAAGGCAGTTTTGTTTATATTGTTTCTAAAGTCCATTTTATGTAGATTTTTTAATAATTTAGACTCCTATATTGGGCATAATAATGAATCCCACATTTTTTTTTATTCTCTGGAATGATGACAAATGCTTTTACTCTCCCATATATTCTGTGGCCTAAAAAGCATTATTATTTTGAAAAAACAAGGTGCGCACAATGTCTTGTGTACCCCAGCAGAAAAGTTCAAACCAGAAAATCCACTGGATTTCCTTGGCTCAAAACCAGCAGCAACTGATGTAGTAGCCTCCGGTTTTTTCCCAATATTTTGGCCTTTTCTTTTTCTCAATCATGTATCCAACTCAAGTCACTTATCATTTCCTTTCTATATAAAGAGACCCTCCATGCCAATTATTTCAACTCAACCTTTCTCAAATTTTGTTCTCTTGCAAAAGACCTATCTTATCATAATTTCAATACAAATTAAGAGACTTACATCCCGAGAAAAAGGAAAATCAAGATGATGAGTGCAGCAACAGCAAGTAGGGCTTGGGTTGTGGCAGCCACAGTTGGAGTTGTGGAAGTGTTGAAAGACCAAGGGGTGTGCAGATGGAACTATCCCATGAGACTGGTGCACCAGCAAGCCAAGAACCATCTCAGGTCTTTTTCTCAGGCCAAGAAGCTGTCTTCTTCTTCTTCTTCTGCCATGGCTTCAAGCATGATCATGAGAGAAGAGAAAATAAAGCAGTCAGAGGAGTCTATGAGGAAAGTGATGTATCTTAACTCTTGGGGTCCCAACTGACACCAACCAAATTAAGCTTAGCTTAGCTTAAGGCCATTGTAAATTACTTTTAAGGCAAATGCTCTTATAAATTTAGTAAAATACATTGGGCACATATGTTTTCCAAATTCAGTTTTTCTTCTTGCTTGACTAAAGTTTTAAATTTGGCACAGCATCTTGGCTTTGGCCTAATCCGATCATAAGAACAACACAACTTTGTTACTAAATTATTCACCCAAAGGAAAACTGAAACCAACTTTTTCCCCAAAATTCTAGGCTGAAAAGAACAAAATAGCCGCTGGTATGGCCAAAAACCACAACCCAAGTGAAACCACCTCCACTCTCATCACCCCCTTAGCTCTCTCTCTCTCTCTCTGCATATTTATGGCTTCAGTTAGATAGTCTCAATGCTTATATATGACTATACCAATACTCTCTCCAACTTACTGTAACAAATTCTACTTTGTTCTTTAAATTACTGGTACTGGCCATCATTCAAAAGTTAAGAAATGAGGTGGAAGAGCAAGGCTTGGGCTGTTTTGGGCACTATTGCAGCTGTGGAGGAGTTGAAAGAAAAGAATCTAAGCAAATGGAGATCCCTGCAGAGCTACCAACATGCACTAATTAACAACATTATGCCAGTGTCTACACTAGTGGGAAAATCTTCTTCATCTACATCTTCAACAATGGAGTCAAAGAAGAAATATTGCAAGCAGGGGACTCTGAATCTGAAGCAATCAGAAGAACCACTTAGACTAATTATGTACTTGAGCTGTTGGGGACCCAACTGAGCTGGAAAGATATGCTGCATGCCCCTCCATGTTTATGAAATCATCACTAAGCATTATGTATGTTTGTGTGTGTGTGTATTTCAAGATGTACACATCCTGATCTATAATCTTAATATCATCATATCCTTGTAAGAATTTGTTCTAAAAAGAGAGGAAATAACAACTCTATGCTTTTACTCTTAGGGCCTGTTCGGTGGGTTGAATTATATGACAAAATATGATTCATAATCCTAGTAAAATGTTTCCTAGACTAAAAACAATCGAATTGAATTATGTCCAATCAATCACTATCCTGAAATTAGAGCATGGAATTAAGTAGCTACTGTCATATGGTAGTGCTCTAATCTTCAAGCAATAAGCTCTTGGGTCCATCAACTTATTCTAGACTGTGGAACAAGATACAAAGAACAGAAAGCAACTTTACGCAAAAGCTGTTTGATTATACCATAGCAAGTTAGCAACTGTTGTTATTGCCCCCAAATCAAATGAAAAATGGTATAGGTCAAATTATTGTGTACGAAACATGATTTCATTGATTTGGGATATTGGAAAAGATGAGATGCCTTTCACAAGAGGGCCACATGGGAGCATCAGTGGTGGGTTTGCTGTGTCGTTATCTTTCATGGCACCACCAGAACATGTTCTAATGCTCTAAACATCATAGCCTATTTTAATTATGATGGCCTTATGCCATGCTCTCCTCTTTAAGCCTTTATCAGAATAAAAATACAAGAAAGAAAAAAGGAATCATAAGAAGATTTGAAAGAGAACTTTGATTTGGTGCAAGTGTTATCCGAAGCAATAGTTCTTCCACCAATGGGTAGCTATATTGTTGCTATCTGTCATTTTCTTTTGTTGTAAATCATTATCAAGCTGTTAATTATTGTAAACCACTAATCTACAGGAAGGGATCCGGGTGCAAGGGGTGAACTCACTATCCCGGCCAATTGACTTTTAATCTATGTCTGATTTTGTATATCTCTTTTAGTATTGTAAATAAAAATATTAGTAGATTAAGGGTTAATTAGTCTAAAATCCCGTATTATGGAATTTTTTTTTTTTGGGTCTAAGATATAGTGCCAATATTTAGCCCAAAAGTTTCAAACTTGAAGCTCTCCTACCAACTGCCAGCCAACATCAACAGGGAGAGTGAGTAAAAAGTAACCACCGCCAATTCCGACAATCCAAAAAGTCCAGAGCGAAAGGTCTCATTCAGCCACATTTAGCATTGGCTATCATAAAGACCTTTCACAACCAGAGACACAACTAAAACACGCATTGCACCAAAGCCTCAATCTTTCAGCTTCAGCCTTCAATTAGCTCAAAACAAAATCTCTCTTTTCACTTTTTTTCCAACTATCTCCGGCGAAACCCATTTTCCGGCGGCCACCGTGAAGCGAATTTCCGGCGGGTGTCGAGAATGGCTGTGGAAGCTGAGAAATCTGGGCCTGATGGGAAGCTGTGGAGTCTATTCAAAAATCCATTTGGGCAGTCGAGAAATGCCTCTTCCTCTTCTTCTTCGTCGTCGTCTTCGACCTTGTCTTCTATGCACAATGTTCACCAGCTGGGTCAGACTCACGAGTCTGTGGAGCGTGCGGCTCTTCATTCTGCCAGTACGGTGTCGTATGTGACCAAGTCTTTGCTTCCTGCTAGGAGGAGGCTCCGTCTTGATCCTGCTAATAAGCTATTTTTTCCATGTACGCCCCTTACCTTGTCTGCTTTAATTATCTTTGTTGTTTGTATAATGGTTTTGATTTTGGTCATCTATTTCATTTTCTGAGAATTTTGAAGGTAAAAGGTGGAACTTTTGTTTCTTTTGGGGTGAGTAATTAGTTGCATGATGTCTGTTTTTGAGCTTACACTGGTTTGCCAATTGCTTATCTGGGTCTTCGACATTTAGTACATAGAGATGCATTCTTTGTTCTTTGATTTGCTTAAGTTGCATGATCTGTTGAATTCATGAGTTAAAGACTTACAGTGGTTCCAATTGTTTTATGCTGATCTGGTCGGTTCTTATTGGTGTCTCTATTTCTGATATTCTCTTTCTTTAGTTTGTTTCTGTTGTATGATGTATCCATTTGTCTAGTGTGGAGTGGTTTCATTGATCCGAATATGGGTTGTTCTCACATTGTTAGCATCACCCAGGATTTCTTATAAGATGTTCACTCAAGATATATTTGCTAATCATTAGAAACGTGTAATGCTTGCTCAATTCCTTTGCCGATTGATGATTCAAGCTTGTTATGTTTTTCCTCACTCTGTGACTGTTTTCTCTGAAGACGAACCTGGTAAGCAGGTCAAGAGTGCCATTGGAATTAAAAACACAAGCAAGTCTCATGTAGCTTTCAAGGTATCGATTGACTCCTCTAAGACCCCTTTTTGTGTTTTCCCCCTTATTAAGTATTTTACTTCTTTTACATATCAGAAACTAGTCATAAACCAGTATTGTGATCAAATTGGGACAACAATTGAATTGAAAATTGGGGATGACAGCATTAGGAGTTTTCTGCTGTCAATTTGATCTGTTACGCTTATTACCAAACAGAACCACCTAACTGCTTACATGTTGGTTGTTTTAGTTCCAAACAACGGCACCAAAGAGTTGTTACATGCGTCCTCCGGGGGGAATACTTGCTCCGGGTGAAAGTCTTATTGCAACTGGTAATTCATTCTTCATGGTCTTCCCTCACGCACTCTTCTATTCATTTTTGGGTTATTTTTCATTTCCGTTTGCAGTAAATAACATGCTAGCTACTTTAGATTTTAGTGAGTTATCGTCTGAAAATTGTAACTTGATTGACAGTCTTCAAGTTTGTGGAACCTCCAGAGAGCAATGAAAAACTAGTAGACCAGAAGAGCAGGGTTAAGTTCAAGATCATGAGCTTGAAAGTGAAAGGAGATATGGACTACGTACCAGAACTGGTATAATTGCAGATATTTTGTATAACTTCTACTGTATCTTAATACATTGCTTTTCCACAATAATAGTTTTTTAATTTTTCTATGTAAATGGAACGAATAACTACTGGACTTTCACATTCCCTCAAAATAATCAGAGATATTGTAAGTAGACTTGAGATAGCAGAACTGAGGTCATTTTCTCTGTTGTCTATAGCCTGCTGTGCCAATATAATTAGTGAACGTTCAGAAGTCATGTACTTCATAGCAAATGTTTGCAGAAATTCTAATTGGAACTTTCCTATAATTAGAACATATATCTTCTACTCCTCAATCAGGTTGATCTTACTATAAATCTCGTTGATTCTTGAAAAGTTCTGTATATTTTTGTTTCTATCACAAATAGAAACCAGTATGCATCATAATTCCTAGATATTAAACATTAACTGTTACATGCATTTATGCAGTTTGATGAGCAGAAGGACCAAGTCGTGGTTGAGCAGGTTTTGCGTGTTGTTTTCCTGGATCCTGAACGCCCTACCCTTGTAAGTAGATGGTGGATGCATCGCTAACCTGTCATTTTCCTGCACTCTGCATACTTTTTTGTTTGTCTTAATTTGGCCGCAGCTTTTTCACTTTCAATTTGATTTTTGTAAAGGCAATGGAAAAACTTAAGCGGCAATTGGCTGAGGCTGAGGCTGCCCTCGAAGCACGAAAGAAGCCTCCAGAAGAAACAGGCCCCCGAATTGTAGGGGAAGGACTAGTCATAGATGAATGGGTGAGGCGTTTGACATGTTTTTGTTTCTTTTGATAGAATGATGATGTTGAGCTTTATACATTTCTTACTGTAAACATTCTTACTTGTGGTATGTATGGTTTCCTTTGTAGAAAGAGCGCAGGGAAAGGTACCTAGCCCAGCAGCAGGTTGAAGGGGTTGATTCAGTGTAGAGTTATGTTCCTTTTTGTTTAGATCATTTCTTTCTCTAGTGTGGAAGTTTCTATATATGATTGAATTGTCGCCTATTCATGTGTGGAAGACCGTTGAGCAATCTAAAGGTAAATGGAAACATGTTTCGTTGTGGATAGATGTTACATTTTTGTTTCTTGTTTTGTTTAATTTTGCTTTGTCCTTTTTATGAGAAAAATTAGTCTGAAGTTCTGCTTCAGGTCTCCTAATGTACTTGTAGATAGCATAAATGACAATAGTGATTTTTTACAGAACTTATGATCTCTGTTCTAGCTGGCTGTTTTGGCTCACTTCTCTCTTGAGATATCCAACACAAACACCTCTCCATACGGCTAATTTACTTACCATAAGTTTTCTTCATGAATTTTGTATTCTTGTAGAAATGTTTGATGCAGTTTGGGTTGTTTTCCCACATAGAATGGAATTGGGTTATTCAAAGTTTTGAGAAGTTCGATAGCTTATCAAATTTCATCAGA